GATAATCAGGTGTGTGAGAGTCAGCAAACCCTCTGCATGTGAGGGCTGACACTGGGGTGCTTTGTACGATTGCATTCAGACACCGTGTTCTGAGCGTCTTTGTTATCGTCGCCTGATAAATAAACAGCCCTAAAATTACAGAACTTATTATGGTAATTGAGTGAAGAAAAGGAAATGCAAACCCTGCCTCACTATCTATTACATTGCCACTGCTAAAGTTGCCTAAACCTGTGCTACTCAAATGATATTGTAATATTAGCCTTCTTTCTTTTTTCACAATGATTGTTTTCTGTCCATCTCAAGCTGGATGTCAGTTCATTTAGATTTACATCAAGTAGTAAATTAAAATAATCACTCAGCAAACACTCTCAGCTCAGTTTTCTCTTTCAGTCAGGAGTTGCGAGAGATGCTTGAAGCATTCAAGCAGAAAATATTGCTGTCTAGATATTTGTCCTCTGGGTGATAAAGGAGGCATTGTCTTGGGACCCACTCAGGCCTCGGAGCTGATAGTAGCTGTGCATCACAGCTGTGAAGTGCGCTTTGTTATGTGTCTGAGGATTAGGGTTCAGGACCTTGTTTTTCTTGAAATACCAGACTGATCAGAGCTGCATATGTTCGGGGGAAAGCAGAGGTCGATGGTTCTCTGTCCACATTTTTACTAGATTATTTTTGGACAGAACTCTGGGAGAATACCCTGCAGCTTAAACCATCCCAAGAGTTTTTCATATTCTGCATTATAACGGCCGTGGAAAAAAAAAGGCTGTAGTTTATCTCTCTGCATCTCAAACAAAAGACTCACAGCACCGCAGACACGCCGGGCTTTGGACCCACGCTGGAACAGCCTGAATTCTGGCTCCTTTGTGCTCCATTTCCAGTACAGCTGCCCATTTAGGAGCACAAATGCACCTTGCTGTAATAACCAAATCCAAAGAATGTCTGGCCTTAAGGATGGCACAGATCGAGGGTGGTGTACAGAGCAAGGGCTTGGGGGGACAAAAAAAGGCTGTTCTGTGTTTCTAAGCTGTCTGTTCCAGAAAGAAAAAAAAAGTGGATTTATTTTTTCTATTTAAAAAATTAATCTGCATCTTTTTTCCCACCCCAGCCAAAACCACACAAACAAACAAAAAAAAAACAAAACACCCCAAAACCCCATAACCCAGCAGTATTTATTTTGGCAAAAAAGCTGTGTACAGGAGCACTCATAATGAAGATGCTGTGGTGAGGGAAGGCAGTAGTTCATTACAGTTGAGGTCTGAGTAAAGACTGCAGGATCTGGGCATGATCTCAGCCTTGGGAGCAGCCTCCTCTTTGTGGCAGCACGATGTGGGAGTTTGTGGGATTGAGGATTTGGGGCCAGGCTCTCATCTGACTTATGTTGGTGTGATACCACAGGAGCTAGCTGGGTCTCCCTGGTAAACAGAGGACTTTATGTGACTCTTTTGTTGCAAGGGAATGTACATACAGACATTGCAAATTCCCCTTTCAGTGTCAGTGTGAATCTCTCCCTTCCAGAACGGGGCTCTGGTCAATAGGCAGAATATTGCCCTTGAAATGATTAATGTTAATTGTAGAACCCCACTGAAGGGGTGGAAGGGAGAACAGCATTTGCCCATATGCAGTTTAATGCCTGAGGATTGGTTGCAAGTATTTCTCTGCTTGAAAACATGTCAGTGGGCACAACTTTTGACCCCATCAAGCTTCTGCATAAATTCTGAGAGTCACCCATGACTTTTCAAACTAGGCCTTCCCTTCTTCCATGGAGTCCCATCCCTGCCCAGCATTGGGCCTGCACGTCCAGCCGTGGCTTCAGGTCAGTGGGGTGGCTCAGGAAGCCATGGAAAGGTGAGCTTGGAGCTGTGCTCCAGGGCACCTGGGAGGGGCTTTGAGACAGTAACTTGAGCTCGGGGGCTTTAATGAATGGCAGTGGACCAAAGAGCTCCTGGACATGTTCTTACCAGCCCAGTGTTTCTGTGGATGTCATTGCCATTCAGAGCAGGCTCTTGGCAATTTTCTGGGTTTATGGTCATGGTAAAAATGATCCAGAAGTATTTTTTTTGTGCCTAGACAAACTGGTTTCCAAGTGACAAAAGAGTCACTGGAGCAGGATGTGGAATGAGGAGCCTTGGTCAGAGATGGACCTGTAGAATCATTGTTTGAAATAAGCTCCAGGCTCCCAACCTAGATTTGTATTTTCATCCTGTGTACTGCGGGACATCCTCCTGCCCTGCTGCCCTGATGTGCTCCTCTCCTGAGGGTTTGTGTGGAGAGGATGTGCACAGACCAAAGCAGTGCCATGTGGAGGGGAGGACATGATTCCTTGTTTCTTCATCTTCTGCCTGGCAGAAGGGATTTGCTGCAGTTGTGCCTGCAGAAAGCTGGCATCATGTGAAGGCATTCATCACTGGAGATATGCTGATAGCAAACCTTCAAAAAATCATGGAGTAGCAGCCAATGTGTCCCTTGTTTATAAGTAGTCTTTTATATTTAGGGATTTTCCTTCACTTCTGCTTCCTCCTTTCTTAGGAAATGACCACGGGGTACTGACCTCTGCTTTTGTGCTCATAGAAATCCCCTCTCTCTCTGTTTTATTTGTCCTCTGGCTTTTTTATTTTTTTCTCAATAGTTTTTTTAAATGCAATTTGGTTTTCTTTTCTTGTGCTTTGAAAAGGTTTGGTTTACCCTTCCTCACTCGTGCCAGCACAGCTATCCATCAGTCCCTTTTCTCCTCGAGTTGTTGCTACTGGTGAGGTTCCTTTATTACTACATTTTCCAGGCATTTTCCCCCGTCTTTCCTAAACCAGTTTTATGTTTTGTTTATCTGTCTCATACTTGTCTTCTTCCTATATCCTGGCAAAATATATTAGAGGTGCCACTTACTTTTCCTCTCTGATCCCGCTCCACAGCCCTCAGAAACAACAGAAAGGGGAATTCTCCTGTTAATTACATTAAAAAAAAAAAAGAGAGAAAGACAATTTCCTGAGTGAAGGAAAAAGAAAACCTACCAGGGCAGAAGGCACCTACAGCCTCCAGCTCCCTGTGCAAACTCACATCTGGGAGGCAGAGACATGAAACCTTCCCCTCCTGGTACCTGTTCCCTCTGCTTGCATGAAGGAGAGAGGGGCCAAGAGTGTGAACTGTCCTACCAATAATTACAGTATCTTTGTGGATTTATAGCAGCTGAAAATCAGGTCTCAGAGTTTTATGTGATTTGAGTTCTTTGTGGAGAGAATTACAAGCATTCACACAGGCCTATCATGACACTTACTGAATTATTTGAAGGATACATTTTTTCCTAGATATCTCAGTACCAACATGAATGCGGAATTGCTGAAATTATCAAAATATTGACATAAAGCCTGATGCAAAACGAGACACTGTTGTCTGTGAGTGGTGTGGCTTGGGGTTTTTTGCTGCTGTCACCAATCACTGCCATCAGAGCCCAGGCAGTGGAAGGGGGAATTCCCCTAGTTCTGTGCAACGGAAAAAAAAAAAAGAAAAGAAAACAAAAAAAAAGGGAGATAATTTCCTGACTGCAGGAAAAGAACTGCTGGGGTAGGAGGTTACCAAGGCCTCTATCTCCTTGTGTGTAGCTGAAGAGAGTATTCAGAGAGTTCAAACACAAGTAGGAGATCTCTGAGTGCAGGAAACAAGCAACGTAGCACGAGGTGAGAGAATTAAGCACAGAGCAGGAGGGCAGTTACCCCGTGTGCACCCACCCCCAGCAAGGGAGGTATCCAGCAAATCCTTGAAAGGGATGTCTTACAAAAGCCTCATTATAAGCTCTTGCTAATTTGAGAACTGTCAGGAATGGCAGTATTATTTTCCACTCAGCTGTTGGGATCTGTGTGTGTGTGTCTGATTAAATGGCACCTTCCAAAAAACACGAGCAGTCCCTGATAAAGCCTTTGTACGGTGCCTGGCAGAAGGGCACCCCTTCAGTATAAATAAATGATATTTTAGTCTTTGTTACGTAACAAAATCTCAGTGTTGTGGCTGCTGTGATGGCACATGAGCAGCTGTGCCTGTTTGCTGCCATAAAGGTTGAGGATTCACAGCAGGATAACCCAACTCCTGGTGCCTTTCTGCTGGAGGTGGGCTGAGATCCACAAAGATCTGTGAAGTACTTCTAGGTCAATATTAGGAAATACTGGAAGTATGCAAGTCGTAGGGAAAACCAAGTGCCTTGCATTTGGAGTTTTCCTCCCTCTAACAACACAAATATGGTCTTGATGCTCTCCTGGACTTGTCTGGTGACAGTGGGATCTCACGGTGGGTTCCCTTCTGCATGGGAAGTCAGGTTTCTGAGCAGCACCGTGCATATTCCACACTAAAAGGGCATCTGAAAAGGCAGACTTGGCTGCAGCTGCTACCTGGAAATCCAGAGGCTGTTGTTTTCCTTATTTCATCTGTTGCTAGTCAGCTGGAAAGCACAGTGACCTATGAGTAATGTGGTCATCCCCAAGTCATGCTGATAAAACCTTTACACTGCTGCCTCTTGCCATCTCTCCTTCTCTATCTCTCTGAGATGTTCTGATCCAATCTTGACTTCCTTTGAGGTAGGGCATTCTGTCTTAATGCCCTAACCCCCTTGGAGAGCCAGAGAGAAATGATTTTGAGATGTTTTTTTGTTGTGCTTTTGCCTGATAGACTTGTCTGCAGGGCTTTTATACCAGCCAGAGAGGATGTGGCTCTGTGGCCATAACCCAGGGGCCCTTTAGGACACTGCTCCTCTCAATTAGTGGCTGCTATTGAAGGCATAGCAGAAGCATTTCCAAATCCCAAAATATCAGTTTGGTCTTGTGGTCAGCAAGCCACCAAGCGTAGCCTAGAGCAACCTAGAGTTGGGAGGTAGCAAATCTCAGTTGCTCTTTGCTCTCTCCACCTTCTTGGCAGTACTATCCATATCCTGGCTGCCACCAGGCAGTCAGTCACTTGGAATATTTGTAATTCTCTGAGTTTGTCTGTGCCACTAATAAAAGTTTCTTGCTTTGTCTTTACAGATCAGCATGGTGGATTTTATGGAGGATTTCTACAGCTGAGGGATAACTGTGAATTCTCAGGTAATTGGCATTTCTTTTGCTTCTTTCATGAGCTGCCCTGGATGTTGTGACCTTTTCTTTGATTTTAGGCTGTAGTCCTCTCTCCTAACCCCCTAAACTGGGCACCTCATGATCAGACTGTTGTCCTGAGTTGCATCTTAGAGTTGCTTTGAGATGCAAAGTGAAGGAAGCTCTGGTTACCCACTCAGAATGCAGCTCTCCTGTCCCACCAATGCAGACTGCCAGTTCATATCTGAAGGGATTTGCTTGCACTCTATAACAGGATAAATAGTTGAACATTTACTGGATAAAGAGCTGTCTTTCTGACTGTATGATCCTGCCATAACTTCATGTGTTTAATGGTGGAACTCAACTTTCTTGTCCCGAGACCAACACTTTCACTCTCTGACTGGACACAGACCCCCTCTATTTTTCACCTTTTGAAAGGGCTGAGGTTTACTGTGGATTTTTGTCATAGATTTTAAACTGTTTCATGCTTACATTAGCTTTGTAATGTAATGAGAAGCTCCAAGTCAGGTGAGGAGGTGCTACAGTGGGGACCTGCAGAAGAGCATTGGGTGTGATGGTTTGAGAACCACCACATCACGATAACATGACACCCCAGTGCTGCTGTGGTGCCAAGCCCATGGCAGGAGCTTTGTGCACTGCCTGACAAGGTTGTTGAAGACACAGCTTTAGGAGTCAGATGAAAGCAGAGCGTTTTTCAGCTTGGCACCCGTCCATCCTCGTTATGATAATGTCGGCATTGTGAGCTCCTTGGGGCAGGGCCTGTGGCTTTCCCTGTGTCTTGAGACTCTCCAAGATTGTGGCCAGCATTCTGTGAACCAAAGCTAATAAATCAAAGCCAGTTTTTCCTCATGCGCTTCAAAACCTACTCCATTTTGGAACGAGAACACCACGTACAGCTCACTGCAGGCTTTGTCAAATTATTCCTCCCCTTCACACTTGGACTCTTCTTCATTTTCCACACACTTAATACTCACCCAGCTCCTTTCTGTAACTGGCAGCTGATCCAATTACACACTAGAGGTAGAAATACTGAAGTCTTACAGTTCAAATGTGGAATGATATGCATAGTCACTTTGTCACTCAAATCCTTAAAAAAAAAAAAAAAAGAAGGAAAGAAAACTCAGACTAGCTGGCCATAATTAAGGGCAGAAAATAGAGCACACAGCTAATATGTCCCTGGTTTGCCAATACTGGGATGTCACAAGTACCAGTCAGGAAGCCAGAGCCATGTGGCTTCCCAGATAAAAAGGCTGGTTTTTTACTTCTAGGGCTACAGTTCAAATCCAGCTTAAGGTTCTAAATTAAATAAGACCCTTAACCTATGCCAAAACATGGGATCCCTCCAGGTCAGAGCCGAGGTTATTGGCAGGTCAGTGTGATTAAGCCTGTGTTCCATTGCCTTCAGCCCCCTTAATGGCATAAATAAAGGAATTAAGGCCCAAACCCTGCCTGAAGTGTGTGAGCACCAACACCCAGGCACAGAGACATGGAAAAAGGAGCACCTGAATTCTCCAAGGGCAGGAATGTGGGCAGGGTTGGGTCAGTGCACTTTAGGTCTCGCTGCTCTCTGCAGGGAGGCACTTTGTGGGAATGGACTCACCCGCTGCTCAGGGGCAGCAGCAGCTCAAAGGCAGCAGAATCTGGGGTCTGTGTGTAGCAGGCCTGCTCTCAGAATTGCATCTTTGGAGAATTCTGGTTCATATTCTCGGCTGGATCTTTGCTCAGAGAGCATTTTGCATTCAGCAGAACAGGCTTGTAAAACTGCAGAGCAGCAGCAGAGGATCTGCAGCGCTACCAAAACTGTAGGAACTTTCAAAGCCTCCAAGCTCCTCCAGCTCCCACCAGAGAGCTCGAGATGAGAGTCCCACATGACAGAAAACAAGCAATAATTAAAAATCCCGATTTCGCCCAAAGAATTCCTTTGTTCAAGGTATGTAAATGTCTTCGCCTGCTTGTAAGTTATTTCATTTTTGATAGTTCCTTAGCTCAGTAATCTGAGCTTGGGAATAGAGGAGTCTGAAAGGAGTGTTACTCTGAAACAAAACACCTGTCTTTCAGTCAAGACTAAATTGACAAGCAACAATTTAGTTGTCTAAACTCAGAGCTTTCAGGATTTCAGACTACATAAATGTCAAGATGCCTAGGTAGGGCTCAAAGGTGAGCGACAGTGTAGGCAAATATACATTGGAACTTCAATTATCCAACCCCTGATCACTCTCAGTTACCTGAAGTTTAAGCATGTCTTCCTTCACTCTTGATTTCTACATTTTTCTGTAGAAACCCTTTGTACTGAGTCACCTCTGTCTTTGCCCAGCAGAGTCTGTAAACTTTTAAGAGCTCGTCTCCTGAGGAGCTTAGAGTGTCTGCCAGATCACAGCATCAGCAACCCCTCTCTGACAGAGCCTGTAATTATCCCTTCATGTTACCTGGTACACTGGGATAGAAGAATTAAAATAAATAAATCACTGTTTTCATCTTTGCTGTCTCCAGCTCCGCTTTTCCATAGGCATGGTGTCAGTGAGGCACCTTCCTCCTCAGACAGTGTTGTACCTGCATGGAAATGCCTTCCTGAAATGATTCCTTGTAGGGAGATCATGTCCTCTCACGAGCAGCCAGAGGGTGGGATGGACTTTGCTGGTTAGCAAAATTCACCATTAGTAGTTTGGATTTCAGGGACCAAAATCTTTCTTTCATTGTTCTCCCGTGACATCTTTGACATTGACTGATATCCAAGAGCCAAATATGGCTCGATTTCCACAGTTTTGAATCCTAAAAAGCTGCTGAGATCCCAACCAAGACCCTCTGAGAAATTTTGCTTTGCTTCTTCCTGCCTTCAGCACTTTTTCTCAATACATCCCAGTTACTTCCGAGGGGGTTTGCTGTGATTTGATCTCAGGGAGGTACCAGTTCACATTTGCAGGTCCCTGCACCAACTATAGAACTAAATCAAAAAGCTTTGAGTGGCAGAAGAAAATGGCTGGCAGGAAAATACATGAGGCCCCTTCACCTCCTTTTGCACCTTTTTATTTTCCAGCCTTATTTTCACCCCATCCTTGGCTTTTGTTTGCCACTTTGATTTTCTCCCAGCGCTTCCTAACATCTTCTGTTCTCCTCTCTGTGGCAAGTTGTGAAGGGAGTCCTTCTCCTTTTCTCCTTGCTCTTCAGCAAGTTTTCCTCTTTATCCTTCAGGGGAGGAATCTCAAACTGAGAAAGGATAGAAGATTTTTGTTTCATCCCCAAAGAGCATGTGAATAAGGCAGACCCTTCTGTGAGATGAGGGGTGGGCTGTGCTCCCTTTCCAGGGACACACTCCGTGCTGGCACTGTGGGATAAAAGCTGCTGTGCAAGTGCTGCCTGCTCTGCAGTGGAGGATTTTTGGGTAGAATGAGCCCCCTGAACAATAAACCAGCCCCCCCTAAGGAAGAAAAAGGGGATTTCAGGCCAGGTCAGGCGACGTCTCCCTTCCCCTTAGCTGAAGGCAAAGAGCTTGATCCTACCAGAACAAATGGCATAAGACATGGAGGATCCAGTGCTGCACAGGAAAATAAAATCCTTTTCTCCCTTGAAAGCAGAGTTGCACAACTGAACTAGAAGGCAAAATGCAATCCAGTCATCTGTTGCTTTCGGAATGGGAAGAAAACAAAATTAAATGGGGATATTAAATTGTAAGTTTTGTGGGTAAAAAAGGAATCTCATTCCCCTGGCAGGAAACTAATATTGCAAGGAAAATATAGCAACAGAAGAGGGCCAGACAGTGCCCATTTTCAATATGTAGGAAGTTCTAGTGTCTTAGGTGTTTCCCGGCCATCAAAAATTGAAATAAATTAAAGTTGCACTTTAATTGAATTACACAATGACATCGATTTGAACATTAGTAAACAGATGCAATTTTGTGCAATGCTTTAAATTGCATTTTCTCACATATGCATTTAATTTAAATTTATTGAGATGGTTATTTATGTTAATAAAATAATTAAAAGCAGTTATTTAAGACTAACTATGAAATAGCTGTGTAACTACCTATATTAATAAGACAGTTAGTTAAGGGATAATGTCTATTGCTTTATGGTGTAATTGCAATAAACAGCTGCTGAGTTTGATTAAGAGCTGAAGTGGAGCTAAAGTGTTTGAGCAATCTCCAAAGCTATTTGTTGTAAGTGTACTACAAAGCAACAGCGATTATTCCTATTATACAAAAAGCCATAGCATAAACATTAAAATATAACACACAAGTATGACGCTTTTTTTCTTGGGTGATGGAGCATGTGGATGGTGGGGCTGGAGAAGGAGAGCTGGGGCTTCAGTGGAGAAGAGGCTTGAGGGAAGGCAGTAATTTTGCTGAACAGTTTTTGCTCATACCCAGGTTCTCACCCCTGTGTGAGTTTACACCTGAGTGGTAGGAGGGGCACAGTCTGTGCTTGTGAGCTGTGTTTTTTCAGGGGTGGCATCATTTGAAAATCTTTAGCTGGATCCCTTTCAAATTTTATAGAAAATTTTCAACCTCGGCTCCAGGTCTGACCTAGGAATTTCTTCAGCTTTTTGTTGGCATATAAAGAGGGAGAGTCAAGCATGTAGTAAAAACCCTTCTGCAACTTTGACCATGAAATGGCTGCTGCCACTCCATAACTCCATCATTAACACATGAATCAGACACTTCCTGGTCCCCAGGCATATCCTGCTTTATGGCACTGACACAGACCTAAACCACAGACCATTAATTTCAGTGGGATCAGGTAAGCAAAAAGGCAGTCCTTGTATTGCTGTTGTTATTTACAAACTCCACATTCTCCTGCTGCTGGGAGATGGACTCGGACATAAGACATTTGCCTTTAAAATTTCTGCTATATTAGAGTTAGCGAGTCTGGAAAGAGGTGCTTAATTACTCAAAAGCTCTTTTATTTCACCTTTTATTTGAGTGCACCTTTGGATGGTGAACTCTGACAGGTTGATTGAGGCACAAATGGACAGGAGTGGTCAACTGGAGTGGGTCA